TTCACGCGAGTGCACATTCGTCCACGCGTGCGAAATGACATCTGCTCCTCATTCTTCACCGTTGCTTATCTTTTACCGTTACGGACAAGTTCCAAGCAACTTGCGAGTACCACGGTTATCTTTCACCGCTGCGGACAAGTTCCAAGCAACTTGCGAGTACCACGGTGAGTATTCGCAGGAGTTTTCACATTGTCGGCACTCCAAAAAGAACGGGAAGTGAGTGCTCGTTCACTGCAGAGATCAGCGCGCAACGGCGACATCTCCGCTGTTCGAAACGCTACGCGGTACTTGCGCCGCACGAAGACATACACAGCGGCAGTTATATAATGAAAGAAAAGTGTAGGAGACCATGCAACGTTTTGGATGAAAAATGAAGGTTATAACGGCAAACGAGAAAAAAAAAACGAGGTTGACAGCGAGGACAAGGTCAAGTTCGCGCAAAAAGGGGAACGATTTACGAGAGATGCACAAACAAACAAAGAAGCAAACAAACAAACAAAATGATTGTAACCGCATTTGCGAATGCATTGACCAAAGGGGCTGTTGCGCTACCTATTATGCTACACAAAGAAAGACAGCTACAGAAAGAAATACAATTTAGGTGAGGCACAAAAAAAAACAGAAAAGAAACTTTGTGAGTGGTGTGATTCATTTTCTTGCCCCACATATACGATAACCCGCGGCGGCATTTAGCAACTAAGGACGGTGGCGGCCAGACCGTGCGGTGGGAATTCCAATCACGAACGTTCGGGAAACTAGTTTCGAAAAAACTTTTAAACGAGCGTGCGCTCCTGCAGAGATGCCTCACCGGTTTCAAGAAGTTCGAGGCGCACGCAGGCACGTCTGAATACTAAAGGAAAACGCAGATAAAGTGTACAAGTTTATAGTGGGTGTACGTTTGTGTCTTTCTTGCGTGTCTGCCATCGCCTCAACACTTGCTGGACGTACAACCCTCTCATACGTGCTATAGGAGAATTCATGACTCTTTTGAGATCTGTCTGGAGATTGCTATCTCACGGCGACTGGACTGGCTTCTTTCTGTTTGTAATTTCATTACTCCCTCCATAACTAGAAGTATAGTTCTGGACACGCGGACTCTTGTGGATGCTGTTTGTACACGACATGCTGTGACCTTGTCACGTGCGAGTATACGTTCAGTCATTCTTGTGCTCTGCTTCGTGTGACTCGTTGTTTTCAGTATTAAGTTACTGATAACTATAGAATGCTGTGTCGGTTATTGTCGATACGTAAAGATATATGGCAGTATGTCGAGTTGAAAGGGTAGTTGGTGCTGTCGCAATTATGAGCACGGGGCCGTGCGTCTAGAGTGCACGCCGCAGGCTCGGCTGCATTGGGATGGGAGCGAAATTCCCAACACGCTTGTGTACTTATACTGCAGTGCGAGCACGGGGAAAAGTTTATGTTGTCGAGTTTATGTTGTTGAGTGGCGAAATCGAGATCCTTAATCTTGCTTTGGCAGTTGAACCAGAAACAAATTTCAAAATGTATTGGCCTGTAGGCATGAGCGCCGTTGGGATGCGCCGACGCCATCGCAACCGGCGTTCTGGAAATATAGCAAAATGGAGGAGAGCATGTTCATGCAGGGATGCTGTTTACTATCCCATAGCTTTTGGTTTAAATGTGGTTATAAATGTGGCTTTAAGTGTGACTTTAAGTGTAGTTTCAAGTGTAGTGTCTTTGACTTCACGAACAACATGAATCCCATAGATTTCTCCAAGCTTTGCCACGAATAAAATTTAATGCTTCGCAAGATTCCGGCGCATTTCATTCGCGAAATAGCCCAAAGACTTTCTTTGTCGGTATTATGGCGCAGTGATGTTGGTACGCTGAGCCTATAACGCAGAATAGAGTAACTTGCCACAGATCCACACGCAACGCACTTGGCTTTATGTTTGCGCGGTTGCTTTGGGGAAGGGTCTCGTTATAATTGTGCCACCAAGCTTGTATCCGTTCTTGAATGCCTCCTTCTTTGCAGTTGGTCATCGTGGAGCATCTTTCGTGTCAGTGTTGTCTTTTTCGCTTTCTCATATTGTCAAACAATATTACCAACTGCATGTTGCACGCCACGAAAGCGTTGCTGTCCTTTCTTAAGCCGGCAGTGTTCCGACGAAACCTTGGCAATAACTATGTTGTGTTTGTGTATATGAATGCACGTGATGCGTTCCTGTTTAGGTGACCAACGTGCATACTGTAATTCCCACCTGGCATCTGGAGAGCTAGACAGGTGATAATCCTGGCAGATGTCTCCAGCACATCAATAAAGTTTGCATCTCTCCTTCTTTCTTTCCGGCTCGGAAACAATGAAACCTCGCAAGTACTCTTGCAGTTCACTTAAACTGCTGTCTCATACAATGGCATCCACCCGGACAGTCAGTTTCTCGTTTTATACTTTTATTGCTTTATTGCATCGTATTCTCTGTTTTCACAAGAAGGAAAATAGAAGAAAAAATTTATTCCACTATCTCCTGCTATGGGGAACCACGTGTAGATGCGAAGCAGCTGGCGCTAACACTTACACTGGCGGCGACGTTCACGCTGGTGCTTATCGTGGCGTTTCGCAAGAGAGAAACCTGGGGAGGCGCAAAGTAAGCATGCAGTGATGTAGCGGTGTTTCCTACTGGAACACGCCAATCGCTACTAATGGGCAATGAGACTCCGAGTGGACAGAGACAACCACAGTACGCTTTTAGATAACGTGCACAAGGCGAATGCTCGTTGTGAGATATCTCCCACTGGCCACCCCAAATATATATATATATATATATATATATATATATAGTGAACGGTTTTGCAGCCCCATTACTGTCGTTTTTTTTTTTCAACCAAGAAACTGGCTAGCAGGTACTGCCTTCGTCGGTGTTGCGAGGCGAGAGGGTGGTACGGTAGGAGAGGAAAGGGAGGCTGAGCGGACGTGCACGCGCAGTAAGCTTGGGTGGTCACGCCGCACACCGGATTGGGCTCGACCCTAAGCTGCTTCGCATCTAAAATGTCGGTCTTGCGTATGAACCGCTGTAGTTCAGTATCCCGCACTGAATTCACCTTCGCCATTGGGAAACCTGAGAAAGTGCGCAACCCGAGCACCCAGCGACTCCCGTTCGTACAGTTCCCACTGCTCCGTTTACCACACCGTTGATGACGTCAGTGTTTAGGGAAAACATGTGGATGTTCGCTCTCACGAGTAGAATCTAGTTAGGGAGATTCGCGAACTCGGTGTGTGACGTGCGCGCTGCTTTTTGCGGCGCTTTATCAACTTTTCGCTTGTTACGACATTTGATATACCTGCTGTCTGCTGCGAATTCAGTGAAGTTGTTTTCCCCTGCAGATGCAGCGACGAAAAGCCGGTGAAGCACCGATTGCAGGAGCAATCATGTGCTTAGTAAGGCGATGACGCCCTCTATATATGGCGCGGCGTATAGGTGTCAGCCAGGTGTTTCTGAAGCGTTTTTCTATCAATTTTAGATTCATTGCAGTGATTGATTCTTGGATATATTTGTTAATTATGCTATTTTAGACCTCGTTCAATACTCTTAACCCCATTTTAGCAGTGCCGGTCTTGTTTTAGGCCTGCGTTGACCACTTTATTTTGAGCGTGATCACATCACATATAAGATCTACAAATGGATGACAAGCCGTGGGGCCCTAAAGCTCTGTATTTTGAAAAGGGCGCTTTTAGGGTGGCATCAATCTTACACCGGGAGCTCGCTCACGACCGAACCAAGGTAGCAAATTGAGCAGACGTCACCGGACCTTCGACCACGTCCAAAGACGTCCTCGGCGCTATAGAGGGGGCCCCTTATAATTCGGACAGTCTCCACACGGGAGCTTCGCGTCAGCCTAAGAACAAAACGGCACGCACGGCCCAGAGGACAAACGTGATCCGCTGTAGCCGCGGAATTAGCGCATCCGGAAAAGCGCGCCATACACGCCTACAAGGAAGCGCAGCTCGACCGGACGCATGCACCGCTGGCGTCCTTGGGCGGCATTGGGCTGGCGCCGGTCGACGCTTCGAGCAGGGAGGGAGCAGCCCCATTGTTCTACGCTCGTGTGCCGTGGGCGCCCTCCTTTGGCTGCCCTGAATGACGGCGGAGCAGGTGCGACCCGGCGTGCGCCGCCCCAAGGTGGACCCCTTTGGCGACGGATATGCGATCGCCCGGCCCCGCTATACGCCACTTTCGCCTATAGCTAATCACGCAAAAAAGCGTCTGGTAGAACCAGCTCGATCAGGTTGTTGTGTACGTGCAGGCAAGATCGCATCGCTGGATCTAGACTGAGCGGGGACAGTGTTGCCGTACAACGGATAGCCACATTAGTCAGTGCTTATCGTCATCTAGCCAAAGCTAGCTGCCAACATTTTTCCCCCGCCCATTATGTAACAGCTACGACCATTTAGGCAATATAATGTTACATTGGCCAAGATTCAGCCAGCACTGAAGCCTACTTTAACCAATTTCAAACAGAACCCATCATGGGTAAATAAATGCCAAGGCATTGCCACTCACCTATCACGAATTGTTGGAAGCATATACTCTAAGATCTGCTTACTTAAATGAAATTGAAGAGTTCTTTGTATCCTTCTAAAGTCTTGTTGTGGTTTTAGCAGCCAGAATATTTAGACAGTCATCAATATTGTTGCTCCCAAAGTATACAAATATAACGAGGTAGAGGCAACAGGCGGCGTACGCTGTATCTTTCTTTGTTGTTCTTGTTGTTTTCCGTAGGAAACGCAACAACGCCGTCAGAAAGCGTGTAAAACTCTTCGAACGTGAATGAATGGTTACGTGTACATTGTTTACGCGAGATAACGGTAAAAATTACGCATGCAAAACAATTTGGTGCACTGAATTTGTTTTGATTTACTTCGAGAGCCTTCCTCCCCCTCTCTCCCCCCCTGTTTTTCTTCCATGCGCTGCTATGCGTGGCTCTCAGATCACGTATATGCATGTTGGTGAATTCAGAGGTTTAATAAAGCGGCCACTTACCTCGCTTTGTGTTCGATATAACGTCGGTGTCCTATTAGGGGAAGAAAGAAAAAAAGCAAGAAAGTGTGTTACAGCTTGTTTAAAAATAAATGTGAACAGCGGTATGTACACCGTGAATTCAGATCTAGCGAGATGCAGAGCTAAGTCACAGAAACCGGACGTCATGGTCACGCAGAGCACTAACTTGAAAGTGACGGTACAGTGGATGCCGTGGGAAATAAAGAAAACACAAGAAATCTGTTCTATATTTTTATTAACTCAAAAAAAAATTAAGAGTGCCGCTGAACTGGTCATTGTGCAACCAAGTAACCCAATTACACAACCGACACCTCTGAGTGAGTGTTGTGTCCATTCCAGAATTATGTTCTCGAAAATTACATAAACAATCTTTTTTAAGCACTCTGGTGCCACAGGTAGTTTCAGTACGCAGATTTAATTACAGATGATGTATGAATCAGTCAACAATAGTTTAAAGGCCGTTCCGTTAATTGACGCTGTTTTCGGTTATCACATAATTTAGTGATCTTAATAATAAAGAAATGAATTAGCGGGTTGCTGTGTCGATGATGGTATTGGCTCGGCAGACATTGACAGATAGAGCAGTAGTGTTTCTTTTGGGGGGAGTTGGTTCGTACGTACTGAAGTCACCGTAATGTGAAAGAACCAGGACGGAAGGAAGAATGACAGGACAACACCGCACTAACAACTGGTTCACTGGATCAACACTCCCCGCCGCCCTTGCCCTTTAAAGGTAACAAGAAAACTGTGAACATAGTCAATGCATAGTCACAAATTGTTCCCGGTAAAGAAAATGAACATTCGAGACGGTGTCGATACCATCCATTATTTTTCCCTTTTTTGCGCTTACGAGAATACTGTACGCAATAAAAGAACGTCTCGTGATTTCACCACAATGGTGATCCAATCATATGTAAGTTAAATGCAGTTTATATGCAGTTACCATCACCATTTATGGTTTGCGAAAACGTAAAGGTATACGCGTTTACGCACGTGCGTGAACGTTTACGTATGAGGAGCTAACACGTTGAAAGATATCCGTTCCGGTAAGACGGTAAACGCGAAACGGTATCCGGTAACACGTTAACGTAAAGAAGTATACGTACAAACCACGATATTCTTATGAGGGACGCCGTATATAATGTAGGGCTCTGGAAATTCGGACTGTCTGTTGTTGTTGTTTTTAACATGCACTGACATGTCACAGTACACGGGCTTCTACCATTTCGACTCCATTGAAATGCGACAGCCGCAACTGGGGTCATACCCATGACGTTCGGCTCTGGAGCCGAGCGTAGTAACCGCTGGACCATATCGTTGCGGGCAAACAACGAAAAAAAAAAGAGAGAAGCCGTGTCCGATACCAAACGAGCAAATTCACGTATCACGGAGTGAAGAACACGTGCGCATATGCTTGATTAGGCTAAATGTTTTATTTATTTATTTATTTTTCACTCGCCCAATATAAACCAGTTGGAAGTTAGAACTCCTAATGTCATATCCTTCCACTGTCCATGTTATTTCACGCTGCAATGACTTCAGGTCGACAGATTGATCTATATCGGACTGACGATAACGCAGAAGGAAGACAGACAATCCTTCCAGCACTGCACAGCATCTGAAGAAATGTAACGCCACCTAACCGGTGGAAATGTACTCACGGCGAGCGGTGCAGGACTGGAGATGAACCTGCGCGTGACGACGCGGTTTCCGGATCCGGCCTCCGGGGACCGGACGCGGCGAATGCCGCTGCCGGCGCTGCTGCCGTCAGAAGGCATCGTCGCCCCCTCTGGCGACGGAGCTGTGAGACGCTCGCTGAGTACACTCCTGATAGTCCCCCTTTAGAAGATGCCTCTTGCGCTAGAAGAAAAAAAAAAGAGAGAAGGAGTCGTTATCTCACGGTAAATGCTAGTGTAAATCTATTTTGATTGCCTTCAGTTACGTCTAATGGCCTTCATTGCAAACACTAGCAGCTAAAGCTAGCATAAACCAACATTTGCCATCAGCAGCCGAACCAAGCTGCCTGTATTGGACAGCTCCAGCAGTAGCAAACAGACAGAGACCTTATTCAATATGTACACTAACGAATACGAACACACTAATGTACTGTGCAATGTCAGGGCACACAAAGAACACCAGATGGTCGAAATACTCGGAACCTTTCTATATGGTGTGCCCCATAATTACGCCGTGGTTCCGACACGTAATATTAAAAGATATATTGCTCTCATTTTGCCAAAATACGGTTAGTACATCTAAATAAAAGCTCTTGAATAAAAAGAAACGAGTAACATATATACTATTAACAACAATAACAAAACAAGGACAACGTGAAAAATGAAGAGAACATGCACGTCACACAGGCAGACAACTTTCTAAAACTCCACGAAAACGTGTACATGAAGCCCGACGGAGGTACCAGAACAAAAACGCCAGGCCTGCGCGGAAGGCACAGCACAGTCACAGCGAAAGCTAGAAGAGTGGCCTTTCAAAGCATTTTCAAAATACTCATTGGGTAACTATTGCAAGCACACTTGCTCGATACCCACTAGGGGATTAATAATACACTTTTGGGTAGTAGGCCGGCATTTGCTATATGCTATTTTTCGTCATTCTTCTGAGAAGCGTGGTATCCGCTAAATACTTGCAAGGGATTTTGTGCCAATTGTTCATGCAGTGGCTGACGACATCGAAGAGTTATGGCTGAAGTGGGTATGCGCCACATACCCACTTCAGGGGAACATGAATAAGCTTTTGTAAGGGGTTGAATCATCGGACGGCCCACTCGTTATGCTATTCGCATTATGCGACGAGTGGTTGTTCTCTCGCTATTTTAAAACGCTTCATAGGTCATATTAACGCGATTGCTTTTCCGACATCAAGCCTGCCTAAGGCAAGTTTGACAATAAGTGAGAAGTCCCGTTCTTGACGCTTGTGTGTGTTTGCCTGACTTCTGATGAAGTATGTTCTGTGTACTTTACTGGTGTTAATGTCATTCATTAAAGAAAAAAAAAGTCAGAAGCACCGGTGTAACTCAGTGGTAGAATACTGGGCTGGCACCCAGCGGACCCGAGTTCGAGCCGAACTGCATCATTGGTGCTAGGTCAAGACTGCCTAAGGCAAGTTTGACAATAAGTCAGAAGCGCTGGTGTAACTCAGTGGTAGAATACTGGGCTGGCACCCGGGTTTCAAGCCTCACTGTGTCATCGGTGCTAGGTTATTTTTTTAAATTTCGCACGATGTGGCTACGGACACCGGCGGCGGCGGCGGCGGACAACAGCGCGTGACGCGAGTTGTGATCTCATAGCAGCTTTCGCTGTAAAACGCAGTAAAGAGAGGAAAAGCAATTATGCAATTCACCGGGACTTACGCAGTTCGTGCGGAGCAGTGTAGCCTGTGGTGCAGTACCGCGCAAGAATGAATACAGGCCAATACACAGTGTATGCTTAAACAGTCCCGTGGCACAACAATGCCGCGTTGAAGTCAATAGCACACGCATAAAGAGCACACGTCGTGCATGACACGTGTGATGTCGCGCAGGGGGAAGCTCGCAACAATTCGCGCACGAAATGTCCATGACGTGCAACATTCATGAAACGCTTCAACCGTAAGTGGCACTGGTAGCCTTTCTAGAACGTGTCTCGTTTGATTCAATTATAAATCATCCACCATATAGATGGTGTGTCAAATATCCCGCAGCCAAATTAAGAAAGAAAAAAAAAGGAGGGCTATTTCGTGAAGCACACTTTGTGCATATTGTTCTCCGTATACTGCTGTATCGTCTACCAATTATTTTGTCAATGAGTTTAGTTAATTTGTTCTAATTATGTTTCTAACTCGACAAATACGCTCCTAGTCACTAAAATGTCAAAGAGGCACTGGCATCTTCAAATGTCACCCAAGGGCACGATTTTCAATAGCGTACTAACTGTGTGCTCGCTGTTCTTTTTTTCTTTTTTGCTAATAAAGAAAACCTGCGAGATCTAAAAATGACACGTGACTAGACTGCAGCGCACGTCAACAAGCAGCGCCTTCAAACAGGATCACTGCGCGGTCGCAAGTCAAGACTACATGCTCCCACCTTTTGTGGGTGGGAGAGCGGTCACGTGTTTTTTTTTTCATATTTCACGTGTTTTCCTTATCAGCCGCAAAAAAAATGAGCACCCAATAAGTACGTTACTGAAAACATCGCAGTTAGATAACATTCTAAGATGCGTGCATGCGCGTTATTGACATTTTTGTGATTAGGTGAGTATTTCTCTAGATAAAAACGTAACTATATACTAGTTTAATTGACATAGTCAACGAAAAAAAATGCAGTGGCAGCTACAGTAGCCTTAGGAACAATATGCAGCAGGTGTGCTTCAGGACGTTCCGCTTTTGTTATATCATGCTCTTGATATTTGGAACACCCTGTACACACACGTGTCCACGCACTAGCTCAGCCGCTCCCACGGCCAGTGATCTGCGGTTTCAAAGCGTCTTTTCCAAGAAGTGCTGGTTTTAAGGCGGAACACTTGGGACAACGTTCTCCACTTCATTCCTCCGAGATCATTTTTAACAGCCACAAACGTTCCGGGTCAAGGTTTAACAGCAGCCGTGCATTTTTGTTGCGCGTGTTGTGAATAATATCGGCCCGCCAAGACTGCTACCATGAGGCCATTTTCTTTTATTATTTCCCGTCTCGGGCGCCTATCGGGGCGGTTCCGGCTACCTCCGTAAGCGAGGGGAGGCGTCGCAGTGTAGTGCTCGGCATTGTCCGGCCGGTGCCGCCCCGCACGATAACCTTGGAGGCGCGCGTTCTGCGGGACGCCCACCGACGATCCTTGTCCTGGTTTGGCTTTAGAGACGGCGCGAGCGTCTCCTGACCGTAAGTAAACGCCAACACTGGGCGCTCCCGTTTTTAGACGGCTGCCCCGAGGCTACCGACGGTCACCCACGACGTCGGCTTGGCTGATCGTTCCAAGAAAGACCCCACGCGACGTCACAACGACACAACGAGAGCACCGAAGTGCGGGCACAAATGCCTTACTCGGTGTGCGTGGAACTGCCAGCGTGTCCCACACTGTCCGAGACAAGGTCGATGAAACTACCGGTGTTTAACTGGAATCTGGAAACGTCTGTGTTTACGTATCGGCGGGACCTGACTTCTTTTTAAAGACGACTGTCCTTCCGAGTTGGGGACCTTCAACGCCAAAATATTGGCCTGCCTGCCTGTACATTGTTTAGGAGAATTTTATTTCTGAGAAAAATCATACATACACAGAAGACATTTATTTGTTACATTGTTCGTTCTCAAGACATTGCTAATATATCTTAATAAACGTTCAAATGCACAACAGGAATCGTTTGTACTTGTAAACAGAAATTCCAACGTACATAAATAAACTATGCTCAGGGGTACGTACAATTCATGAAAAGGGACAACAAACAGCATTTCGAAAAATGCGTATAAGAATAAATAAATACTCATACAATAATAAATTCAGGTTCAGTGAAATCACAAACACTAGCCTACCTTGTCAGTAATGAAGGCAAGGCATGGACACTTTGTTCTTTTTGAGAAGAATAAATCATGTTCACCACTGCAGGACGAAAGCTTCCTCCACCAGAATGAATAACTGTCCGTTCAGATGTGTTAGCATCACGGTTCTTAAGCGATGTAGTAGAGGAAACATGGCCCTCTAAGGGTGTCCCCGCAGGCATGCCAGCTAGTCCCCTCCGCTTCCACAATACAAAACCACCAATGCGCATTATCAACTCAACAAAGCTGTTTCTGTGCCGCGACTGCCATTGCAAGCTGACTTGAAACATGCTGGTCACCAAACGCCAGAAAGTACGTGCCACAGGACATTCGTGGAGTACATGATTCAGAGTTTCCGTCCGTCCGCACAGCGGACATGAGGCGGAGGGCAACACACCCCACGCCGCAAGGCGGTCGGCCGTTGGCAACGCCTGCCATTCTCTCAACCAAGTGAAGTCTCGGACTTCAGCGGGTACGGTTGTGGTTTTCATGAACAAGCGTTGACTTTTGCGACATTTCTTGCGCTGATCATCCTTCAAATTTTTACAGCAATACATTCACATATTTCAGTGGGTGACGGGGGGTGGGCGGGGTTAGAAAAAGGGGGTAACGATTTAGAGTGCAGGGTACTCTACTATGAAAGAGCACTGAGCCGTCCCGAATTGATGAATCGTCCTAGTAAACTGTTGACTGCAACACACCGCAACACCATAAGTTTGCAGGGGTTAGCAATTTTCTTAACACCAAAACACATTTCAATCGACCAGCTCTATCCGCAGCGCCCACCAATATTGCTCAAGTTTCAGCGTTCATAATTGTGCAATTGTAAATTAAAGACCAATTATTACGCATACGTGAGGCACCACAACAACACGACGATGTTTTGTATGTGTGCCTTTTACTAGAGAAGGTACACACAAGTAATTCTAAGGACCGTAGCGCCTATCACGCTGCGCTGACAGTCCAACGCAATTCTCAAAAAGGAAAGTGTTTCCAATGCTTTGCTGAGACGACACGGTGGTGGCACCTACCCGTCGCTTTGCGTTCTACACCTTATCGCATCCGATACAGGCGTGCATCTTTCTCCGTGGGCGCGCACACCTTCCTTCGTTTTCGAAGGTAACTGCCAGATAACGCTCGCGTCTAACGTGCCTCGATGCGCTCCTTTGCCTTCGCTACACGGATCGAGACTCTCCAACGCAGCGCTTCCAAAATACCATTCACCGATTTTCCCGCGCAGAACATCAAATAAACGTTTCGTTCAATCTTTCCCCGTGCAAGACTATCGTCTTTTGACGACATTCGCAGTGAAACATGCAGATACGGGGCAA